TGGGGAGAGGGAGGTCTGGGCCTCCCTTCTGAAGCTGCTGCCCCCGCGACCCGACCCCGGATAGGCGGAAGAAAATGGATGGATGGATGGATAAGGAGTGAACTGAAACATAACTCAAAGTATAGATAACCAAAAATGTATACTTCATTAAATTAGTAACTATTTGTATTTAGTTAGTTGACACCTCTCAGTCTGAAGCAGCTAAACACCAGAAGTTGACTAACAAACTCTCACAAACCTAAAACACACATTAATTTTTGATTATGATCATTTTAAAAAATATATGTTGGGCATCTTAGAAAAAATGTTTTAAATTATATTTTACATGCCATTCAAAGAGGTTTGGCAAAAATGGTGACACATTCCTGCAAAAATAATTTACAAACCTAAAAAAAAAAACATTTTAATTCAGGACACACACTGAGGCTCAGACTCACAAACACCTCATGATTTTTGCAGTTACATTTTTTGAATTGTGCACATCTCTCCTGTCCTAACGATAGGATTCTGCTCTTTTGTCCTCTTCATAATCTTTAAGAATGTTGTTTAAAAGCTTTGCAAAGTTTCCAAACAAAACTGGATGCACACAGTTAATTTAGAATCATTAATTCACCCAACATACACATTTTTGAATGGAGGGAGCAGGCAAGAAAATGCATGAAAACCTATGGGTGCAGACAGAAAATATTTACAGTAAATGTAGTATTATTCAAGAAACAGACCTTCTTGCTGTGAGGCAATCAGCCCAAGCTACCCTAAAACCTGGCTGCCCCTTTGTTGATTTAAAAACATAAAACCCACTTGATTCCTCATCATGAAATATGGTATGGTTTGATTCTAAACCAAGAGTCTACATTTTACCTTTTTTTGTCCGTTGTTTTTCATCAACATAATACACACTACAACAAACAAATATTTGAGGTTATTTACCCATTTCTGTTATCAAAGCTATAAAATAAAAGAGAGTTAATAAGAAACAAATTAAATATGTGATGAAATGCTGTAAATTTAACCAAGAATTGTCTCACATATGTGGTGTCTAATTGCTACTTTATAGTAATTACCAATTTAAAGTGAAACAAACAGTCAAAGAAAAAACAGATGGAAAATTTTAAATCAAATCAAAAGAATAGTCGTTTTTAGACTGACACTTGCACAAAGACAAGAACAAAATCCTTGATTCCAGAACAATGTACAGCAAATCTTCAATAGAACAGCTGAAAAAGAAAGGAAACAAAGAAAGGAATCAAGGTGTTGCAAAGTCCCACTAAAAGTCCAGACCTCAGCCTTAAGAGCGCTGTGAAGAAAGAAATGTCTGCAAACCTCAATGAACTGAGACATCTTTTTAAAGATGAAAGAGATAAAATTATTCTAAAGTCATGTGAGAGATGACTAAAGTCCTAAAGAAAACTCACTACTCTACTACAGTAAGAGTTATTGCTACAAAAATAAGTTCTGTAATCTACTGGACTTCTTTTTTTTCCACACACAGCTTTTTCATTTTGGCTTTGTTTTTGTTTATGAAAGAATATGATGAGATGAGCAGGTGTTCAAAGCATTAGACACTATTTTATAACCTAACCCTGACCTAGATTTCTCAACTGCTTAACCTCTGACCTGTCCAATGAATTCCTTGGCCTTCATGATGCTGTTTGAGGACCAATTTAGTTGGTTGCATTGGATTTTAGTTAGTTAGTTAATGGGATTGGATACAAATGCATGCCACTTTTATTGTTCATCAAAAACTTTGAAAACCATGTCTTGTTTTCCTTTCACTTCACACATTGTGCTACTTTCTATTGCTGTATTACATAAGATCTTCATAAAGTACTTTAAACACTTTAGTTGTAAAGCGACAACTGCTCAAGGGATTCAAATACTTTCACCAGGCACTGTAAATTTCATGCACGTGTGTCTATTTGTTATCAAAAAGCACATCAGATTACAGCAGAATCTCAGGCCTTTCTTTTTATAACATTGTTTAATAACTGCCTTTATACAACAGCAGTGTTATAGTGCGTGTGCAGAATCCACAACTTCTCTCCTCTCAACTCAGCCACATCTGACTCCATTCATTACTTCCCAGAGATAACCCAAGCACAGGAAAATGCAGAGTCAGCAGCCAACATACTCTCTGGGATATACCAATTAGGTCTCTCTTATTTCTTTTTTTTCTGATGCAATAGAATGAGCCTCATGTATACTTTAGTGCAGAGTTTTCACTTTTCATGGATTTTTTTTATAATTATATTTTCAAAGTACTGTTGTGCTTCAAGAACCATGCTTAGAATATGAATACAAATGTGCTCAGCCATGTTTGGTGACAAAACAGTCTTGTCCATCCTAATGTTTATGAAAAAACAACCATTCTCTCTCAGCAGAATTTCACAAGTTGTTGGAATTACATGGCATGTGTGTCATTTTGGACATCCAGACCTCAGAATATTGAAACTGAAGAGATACAAAAAGGACACAAATGAAAAAAAGTAAGTAGGTTTATTTAAAGAGAGATAGCCAGGAACTGGGAAATCTGTGGAGAACAGTGGGAAGTGAGCTCAGGTAACCCAGATAAGAAGATTGAATTAGTGGCACAATCAATTGCCTTGATGTGTTCTTGTTTCCAGATTTGGAAGGTAAGGACCTAACATTGTCTCCTTATGTTTAAGTTGAGTGCCTTTTGTGCTGTGAAGAGTTGAAAATTGGAAATAGCAACTATTTTGTATCTGGTGGCATCTTTCTGCTAAGGATTGAGGGTCCAGCAGCTCCACTGCTGAGCATCTCAGCTGACCTCCCTGTTAGCCCTTCTGGTATATTAATCATCAAGGACTTTGTTAAATATAGGTTAAATAATTGGAAAATTAGAATAAAAAATCTGACTATTATTTTGTTATATCCTGAAAGGAGGCAACAGTAGCATAATCTACTGAGAACACACTTGACAGAGATAACTTTTTTTTAACGCACACTAACAGTTATTACATTTTTTTATATTTCTCCGTTGGATCTTTGTTTACTGGGCTGGCTAAAACACACACAGAGACACACAAACCCAGTTGTTACTGCAGGGAGGCGGAATCTTGATCACTATTGGCTTTAGATGGGCTTCACTGCATGCCTCAACCAATGAGAGCCTTTGTTGTCGAGCAGTTGAGTGGAAACTCACAGCTGCTGTTATTAGAGCTGGTAAAGACGGTTCACTTTATGGAACCGGGTTAATTTGAGATGATCATTAAAATAACCCAGTTCATTTGAGTCAACTGAGTCCGAGTCCTGCACTGCACCCTCCCCATTAAAGGTGTGTGCATTTATACAGTATATATATA